AGACACTTAAAACAAACAAACAAACTGTCCTTATCCATAAACACGAGGATCTCTCACATTGAAAGGTCACGAACCGTAACACTATTTTCCATTATTAACTGTTAAAAACAAAAAATCCAGCATAATCCAAATTACCAACGTTTACTGCTGCCTCTCTCAAATTACACGACGAATACTGCCTGTGCAAAAAAACAACAACGACCCTCTTCCAAACAGTGCATGTAAAGCCCAATAATCAGTAATACAAGCAGCCGAAGGGAAGACGCAGGATAGCAAGGCATAGAAAACACAGAAAAAGGAGAGTATATGAAGAGAATACATTAAAATTGTCCTATAATTTGTCCCTACAGCGATTTCGTATTCAAACAGAAATCCTCCAACACAGGCGAAAGAATGTGCATGCTGGAGTGCTGTGGTGTGATCTCGGCTCCCTGCAACCTCCGCCTCCCGGGTTCAAGCGATTCTCCTGCCTCAGACTCCTGAGTAGCCGGGATTACAGGCGTGTGCCACCACGCCTGGATAATTTTTTTATTTTTAGCAGAGACGAGGTTTCACCATGTTGGTCAGGCTGGTCTCGAACTCCTGACCTCGTGATCCGCCTGCCACGGCTTCCCAAAATGCTGGGATTGCAGGTGTGAGCCACCATGACCAGCCAACAATTCCTTTTTAAGGGTGATTTGGCAACCCTGTGTTGAACACAGTATCTGAAACACTGTGGAAGCTTACAACTTTTTTTTACCCAACTGAAAGTGCTTAAAGAGGACTAGGAGGGTACATACCATTGTTATGTCTTACTTTTCATAAAAAGAGAAATGCTAATGAAATACTTTTTAATATTGGCATTAAAAACGGCCAGCGGTTCCGCCCTTCGCCCCCGCTCCCAGCAGTCACCTGTGACAGCCACCCGGCCAGAGTCCACGCCTCAACTACGAGGCTGGTGATCCAGAAAGAGAACCTCATGCCCTGGCTGCAGGCGCAGCTGGACGCGTGCTTCCAGTGGTCGCCAGCCAATGGCAAGCCAGGCCCCGGTCGCACTGCTGATTGGCCCCCAGATCCCGTGGGATCCCACCTCTCGCAGAGGCTTAAAGCCTTGTACCTGCTGTGCAGTCTCTGGCTGTGCGTGCCTGCTGTCCGGTAGCTGTGGCTGTGGATAGCTCTTGCGCTGTCGAAAACTGGCTAATTCAACTGAGGAAATGAATTTTTAATTATTTTCATTATAATTCATTTTAATTTTAGGTAATTTTAAGTACTTTTAATTTAAATAGCCACAGTCACCAGATGCTTGAATGAAACTGTTCTAAGTGGAATCTATGAGTTTTGTTCTGTGATCTACACATTTAAAAGATGTATGTCATCAAGTTGAATCAAAAGGAGCAGGTATATGGTGAAAAAAAAATCAGGTGTTAGATTTTATTCTCAAACTCAAACAAAGGCATGCAAACTCAAGAAGGAGACTACCATTTCTTGAGTGCCTGCCACAGGTCAGGCTAAGCCTTACAGATAGGTCAAATGGAAACTCTGGACCATATTCATATATAACAATCTGAAAGCTACTAATTGATCACCAGTAAGTCTTAGTTTTAAAACCTATAAAAAATTTCCAAATAGGGCAACACACTTTTAGTTAATTAAATGTAACATATGAAGACTAATATCACCAACTAAGCAAGTCTCATTGTACTTGAGTTTGGAAAATAATGACAAAAATTTACTATTTGCTCCTGGCAATTCAAAAATTAGTCACAATATCACCTCTCATTTTAAAAAGAAAAAATTTGAGGGAGAAAGGTTTCAAAAAAATCTGAATTTCATGCGAAACAAACATGTATGCACATTCCAATAACAGTGCCTTATAGACTACATGTTCTAAAGCCTTGAAAAAAATTTAATCTGCAAATGCCCAGCATCTGGTTTCTTCTATTAAGCAGACGAACTAAAAATCATTCTTTTAAACCTCAGACATTTTTAGGTGTTTTAGTTACATGTAATTCGTGTTCAAAGGTTTTATGATTTGAAGTGTAACAATTTGGTCATTGAGTGATGAAGTGTTCTAAAATTGATTGTGATGATGCTTGCACAATGCTGTGAAGGTACTAAAAACGATTTAATTGAATACATCAAATGAGTGAATTGTATGATATAAGAATTAGATCTCACTGGGTGTGGTGGGTCTCTCCTGTAATCCCAGCTACTTGGGAGGCATAGGCAAGAGAATCACTTAAGGCCAGTTCAAGATTGCCCCAGGCAACATAGTGAGACACCATCCCTTAAAAAAAAAAAAAAAGAAAGAAAGAAAGAAAAAATGAGAATAATTATATCTCAATAAATTTGTTTAAAATAAATACATAAGTCATGAAGAAAATGTACTTACTATATTTTTTAATTTATAAGTAAATTTCTAATTTTCCTTGAATATGTCATATTTCACATAATTGAATAGTAAAGAAATTTTGCTTTCCTGGCATTTTACAATATTTCTGTTCCTGGTTTTGTTTTATGGAATCTTTTATCTTTTTTTGAGAAAAAAATTAACTGTTCTCAATAACAGCCTAAAATTTTCAGGACACCAATCAGTAGTCTTATTTCACAAAGAATAGAGATTGCCCAGTCAGAACAATTTAAGAAAATTACACATTTTCCACTAGATGGCACTGGTTTGCAAATAATATTGCTTTGCACTTCCTCTCATTAACAAAATTATTACACTATCAAATTATTTTCATTTACCTTGATTGTTGTGGATAGGATAAAGAGAAATGGAAAGTTAAGAAAAGATACTTCCTAGAGTTGCTCAGCCTCGGGGTAAACAGAGCCCTCATTACAGATATGGAATGTAATACAAGGAGAAATTATAAAAATCTTGTTAGTGCTAAATCCAGGGTAACAACCCACAATCCCTGACTCTCAGTAGTCATCACACAACTGTACAATATCAGGGGTGGGGAAGTGGATACCATAGTCAAAGGGAACAAGAAAATTAATCTCGATTGTGCTATTGTACAAATATTATCTCATTTGATTTCTAAACTATGAACTCTATATATATTATCTCATATGAGCATAACTATACAAGGCTAAATGATTAACTCTGTGGGGGAGAAGAGTAATTATTTTGCTCAATACTACATCCCTTCAGTATAACACAGTGCCTAACACATATAAGATAGTCAAAAATACTTATTAAGTGAATGGGTGAATTAATTAAACTTGATAGTCATGCTCCTGCATATATTAGGTGGCTATCAAGCTTAACTAATCCAACTATAAAATAATATGTATTACCTATTTAGTAGGTAATATTATTCCTACTTTACAGTTAAGGAAACTGAAGCTGCAAGTATTAAGTAACTTGTCCAAGCTCCCACAATTCAGTACAAAACCATGTAACATGATCTGACATTACTTTGCATTATATATTTACATGTCAGATTTCCACAGTGGGGGAAAAGAAGCCCTCAGGACATGTCTTTCCTTTTCCTCATTATATATCTAGCTCCTGGCATGGAGCCTGGCACATAGTTGGAGCACAGTAAATATTTATCTGGTTGACTTCATAGCAACCTAGGTCTTAGCATCCAGAACTTGTTCATTTGAAGAACTCTGCCCTCGGTCTACGTAGGGGTTTATTCCTTTCACTTCATTCCAATGCCACTGCTAAATCGAGACCTTGTTTCTGGATTTCTACTGGATTTCTGACCTCTCCTCTAAGGCCTGTTAACAAGAAGGCGTTTCCCACTTTGCTCGCACTCTATGATTTCTCTTAGTTCCACAGCTGAGCAGTCCACCCTCACTGCCCTCCAATCCCAGGGTTGTTTGTAGAAGTTGAGTAAATCAACAGATGGAGTTAGTTCTGGGTTTTTTGTTGTTGATGTTTGAGACAGAGTCTCACTCTATCACCCAGGCTGGAGGGCAGTGCCGCGATCTCTGCCTCCTGAGTTCACGCCATTCTCTTGCCTCAGCCTCCTGAGTAGCTGGGACTACAGGCGCCCGCCACCACGCCTGGCTAATTCTTTTGTATTTTTTTAGTAGAGAGGGAGTTTCACCGTGTTAGCCAGGATGGTCTTGGTTTCCTGACCTCGTGATCCACCCGCCTCGGCCTCCCGAAGTGCTGGAATCACAGGCGTGAGCCACCATTCCCGGCCAAGTTAGTTCTGGTTTTAGCTGTACTTTTATCTCTGTTACTTTGGCTATGCTATAGGCCTCAGTTTCCTCATCTCTAACAAATGAGGTTGAAATGGAATGATCTCAAATGTTCCTTTCCACTCTAATGCTGTGTAGTTTGAACTCTGTCCTATATTGATCGTCTATTGAGCTTATGATCAAGATGATGACAAAGGACTCTCCTCTTTGACCAAAACAGGCTCCTCTGAGTCCTCTGCTTGACTAGGCTTGATCTTGGGCTGTCTGTCCTTGTAGAATCCAATTTGAACAAGATTCAGTGTAGTGAATCAGTGTAGTGAAAATCCAGTATCTGACCACCATGGATATCAATCACCCTGGCCTGCCTTCAGCAAGTATCCTGTCAAGTTGGTTTAGCCAGAATCCTCCTTAACCCTGATGTACCCTCTTAGTAATTTTCCATCCACTGACCTCCCACCCAGCTTCTTGGTTAGAAATGTGTCCTTATTAGAGTCAAAATTCAGTCCAATCTCTCTCTCCCACTGCAAGACCCCATTGCAGCTGTCCCTGGACCTATCACCATGTCTCCTTTTGTCAAAGTTGGCCTTCCTGTACCATCTCTAATGAGTGTCATGAATAATTTTTTCTTGAACACTGGAAAGAATCTTTGGCCTTAGGGGTGGGGTAAAGCCAGCGTTGGGAAAGCCTGTGCAGTAGGCAGCGCTTTTCTGCCTGCAGGGAACAAGGATTACACAACTGATACTTGGGCTGAAGCGCAGCTGGATTGGAGACTTAGACTGCGTCAGGGTCCCCCGCGTCGCCAGGGGGCGCTGCAGGCCGCTCCCCGGAAGGCCGCATCCTGCGCAGCTGGACAGCGCCTGGCGCAGGACTCCTCTCTCTCCCGGAAGCGGAGCACCGAGCCCGCAAAGCCTGGGTGTGAGACAGCAGCGGTGGCAGACACCGCAGAAGCAAAGAGCACTGAGGCTCTTGCATTCAGGTGGAGTACCATGGACGAAGCTGGCAGCTCTGCGAGCGGCGGGGGCTTCCGCCCGGGCGTGGACAGCCTGGACGAACCGCCCAACAGCCGCATCTTCCTTGTGATCAGCAAGTACACGCCTGAGTCGGTGCTGAGGGAGCGCTTCTCGCCTTTTGGCGACATCCAGGACATCTGGGTGGTGCGGGACAAGCACACTAAGGAATCCAAGGGCATTGCTTTCGTCAAGTTCGCCCGCAGCTCACAGGCCTGCAGGGCCATGGAGGAGATGCATGGCCAGTGCCTCGGCCCCAACGACACCAAGCCCATCAAGGTGCGGGTGCCCGGGTCGGGGTGCCCTCGGGGGAAGGAGTGGGCCTTTCGGACCTCCCTTCACCTGCCGCTCTGCCGGGGTGAGGGAGGAGTGGAACATCCGTTCCTGGCAGCTGACCAGACAGCACCTGGCGTAGGGACAGGGGCTGCTTTGAGGAGAGGCTCCCCTCCCACGAAGCTGCGCTGGGTTTCAGGGAAGGGGACGGGAAGCGGAATGTTTGCCCCCCGAGAGCGGACCAGGCAACCGCGGCCACCGGGTGACAGAACAGCAGTGGCTGGGCCTCCCCTTTCCCTCGCCCTCACTAATCCACCAGCTCTTGAGTTCACTGCCAAACTCGTCCTAGCCTACTTCGAGTACTTTTCTGACCTTCTTCTCTCAGATGCCCAGAATTTCCATTATAACAAACGGAAAAACTCTACTTTTCCTCAGGTAGAGATGAGGTGTTAACAACTTGACAAAAGTACTTTAAACTGGGGACCTCTGGTGTTGGACGTTTTCCCAGTACCAGACAAAAGAATACATGTATATAATACTAAGTGCAGGTGTTTAAAACGGTCACTGTTACATATTCATCACATTTTGTTGTTTTGGAAAATTATTTTGAACGAGCTCTGTTTCTGAAAGTGTTAATAGCATACATTTGGTTCTTGACCCTTTCTGTTACTGCAAATTTTCTTTGAAAGCAGACCAAAGTAAACTGCCTTAAGAAGAGCCAAATCATTGTGATAATGACACATGTCAGGAAGGATCATTTTGAGGGTTATTTGACATAATCTGTGCTTTCAGCACAGTGCCTCGCACAGGGTAAGCCCTCAATATGTCCTTGTTGTTGATCGGTAATAGCCAAGATGTCACTGCTTACTCCCTGTGATCTCAAATCAGGACTCAGTCCTGAGAATCTGGCAATTGCTTAAATTGTACCCTTCGTCTGTCCCATGTAAATAGTTGCTATGTATGTTATTCTGTTGGTACTTTGCACAAAAATATTTTCTCAATTTTTAAAAAAATTGTTTTCCAAATTGAGAATGGTATTATTATGGACTTATGTAAATAAAGGACTCAGAGATATTTCAGTCTCTGGAGGTCTTGCTCCATGCACAAAAGAGAAGGAGCCTGGGAATATACCAGCAACACGGTAAACAGTCCCTTCCTCCCACCTCTCCAACCCTCTGAAGTGTGTCAGAATAGGAGAGCAACAAAATTAATTTAGGATCACAGCATACAGGATCAGGAGTTGACAAACTTTTTCTGTAAAGGGCTGGCTAGTAAATATTTTAGGCTTTGTGGGCCACATACAGTCTCTGTCACAAATCCTTGTCTGTAAAAGGATCCTTGTCTTTTAAGGACTGTAAAAACTGTCCTTAAAAACTGTAAAAACAGTTCTTACATCATGGGCTATTCCAAAAATGGAGCTGTAGTTTGCTGACCTCTGTAGTAGACTGATGTGTTTCATCACTGTCCAATTATGACCTTAGTGGAGAGGGTTTTTATATTTTGAGTGTAACATGGCCACAGAGCCCATGTGGACAACCCAAAAAAATGTGCCATATTTGAAATTGGTGGACCACCTTCCCCTGATAAATTTCTACAAGAGAAATTAAAGGCCCAGCACTGAAATGTACCTTCTCTTTTAGCTGCAGAGAAATTAAAGATCTTGTTCCCAAAAAGAAATAAACTACTATTTTCTTTGTCACATTTTTGACTATTCAGTTTTAGCCAGAAGGTTGTTTCACTGTAGTACCTAGCTAGACAGTCTAGTTTCATTTGTTTTCTTTCTTTTTTTTTTTTTTTTTTTTTGAGACAGAATCTCGCTGTGTCACCCAGGCTAAAGTGCAGCGGCTTCTTGATCACAGCTCACTGTAGCCTCTACCTCCCAGACTCAAGCAATCCTCTTGCCTCATCCTCCCTCTCAAGTAGCTGGGACTACAGATGTGCACCACCATGCCCAGCTAATTTTTTTATTTTTCATAGAGACAGGGTCTCACTATGTTGCCTAGGCAGGTCTCAAACTCCTGGGCTCAAGCGATCCTCCCATTTCAACCTCCCATTACAGTTGTGAGCCACCACACCCTAACAGCCTAGTTTCATTCAGCAGCTGCAACTCGAGCCATCTTCGACTGGAACACTCTTGTGTTGTGTTCAGCATTTCCAGTTAAATTAATTCAGCTTCAGTATTTCTATCGTACTTTGCTTTTGCAAAGTTTCAGAGGATCTATAACACAAGAATATTAACATACCAGGCCTCAGCCAGAAAAGATTGTCCAAGTAAAAGTTATTCTGTGACCAACTATGTTATCTGGCAGAAAGGGGGAAACCTAGAAAACAGAAGAAAAAAACCTTGGCTTTAGTTTTGCAAGAATGCTTCTTATCTAGAGCCTATGAACGCTCATAGTCTTTGAAGGTGAAAATTTATGGGAGAAATCTACCATGAGGAGGTTAATTATTTTACATACATTCTACATAGACTGTCTCCTTTGTCAGAGATTTGAAACACCTCAGTCCTCTAAAATGTAGAAATCTGTGTTCTGATGGCACTTCCAATTTCATCTTACCTGAGATTCTTTTTTTTTTCTCTAATGTCTTTGCATATACTTAAAGCTTCCCTATTTGTATTTCCCTATTTACCATTTATTACTGATATCAGCCACAAAACTCTAGTGGGCCATTTCTGTGTTACTCAATAGTTGTACTCATATAGTGCTTGACATATAGCATAGATTTACTGTAGGAATAACTAGAAGTAGACTATAAAGGGATATGTCTCTAATACTGTGGTTTTCTTAGTTGCTGCTTCCTACTCTGGAATTTCATAAGTTCCAGTTTTCTCATGCTTGGATGATATAGAGCCCCCTTTACCAGCAGTGGATTAGAGACCAAGATATAGAGACCCCTTTAAAGGAAAGAGAAACAAACAATGCAAGGACCCTTGTTTATGGTGTTTTAATTTATTATATTACATTTATTCAAATTGCTCTGGCTAAAAACAAATGCAAAAGTAGAAATACATTTGGGAAAAAAACAATGCAGAGATTGGTATTAGCTCGTAAAAAAAAGTCATTGCAGGCCCAGCACGGTGGCTCACACCTGTAATCGTAGCATTTTGGAAGGTCAAAGTGGGAGGATCACTTGAGCCCAGGAATTCGTGACCATCTTGGGCAACATAGCAAGACCTTGTCTCTATAAATGTTAAAAAATTAGCTGGGTGTTGTGGTATGTGTCTGTGGTCCCAGCTACTTGGGAGGCTGAGGTGGGAGGATCACTTGAGCCTAGAATGTTGAAACTGCAGTGAGCCATGATCACACCACTACACTCCAGCTTGGGTGACACAGCGAGACCCCATCTCAAAAAAAATAAATAAATAAAAAGTCATTGCAAGAATAATTGCTTTTGAAAAAAATTTAAGAAATGGGAAAATAGTTGACATTATTTTATTTTGGGAGTTTTGTTTGTTTCTTAGGTTTTCATTGCACAGTCCCGATCATCTGGAAGTCACCGAGATGTTGAAGATGAAGAACTTACAAGAATCTTTGTTATGATACCAAAGTCCTACACAGAGGAAGATCTGCGGGAAAAATTTAAGGTACTTATTCTAATCAGCTAGCATATGTGATAACTCATAGTCCTATACAGGTTGTATGGGTACTAAATCTGAAGTGTCGTTGGAATAAGGTCAATAGAGTAGTCGTGGGGAATTATATAACTGTTTTCATCAATTTCAATCTACTTTTTAAATATTAAACCTAGCATAAATTAGTTTTCAAAATTAAAGAATATATAAAAACTGGAAAATAGTAATGGTAGTCTCCCCCTACTTTATTGTGAAAGTAGAGATTCACAGAAATGAAGTATGAAACTCAGAAACTTTTAAGTAAAGTCACACAGTTAGTAGGTCGTAGAGCTATGATTTAAACCCAGGCTATCGGAGTCTGGAGCCTGCTCTTGGTCTTTAAAATTTCAAAGCATGCTCTTTTCACTCCCCTCTGTTGCCTGGCATGTAAAGGCGAATCAGGCAGACCTGAGTGTGTGAACTGTATTATCTAGTATTTAGAAAAGGCCTATGGTATGTTGACATGGTACTCATTCACAGAAAGGCTTATTCTTTGAAGAGTTTTTGTCCTAAAATTGGGCCTTTGAAGGATTTATATTTAAAAAAGAAAACATAAGTATAGCTCTGACCTATATAAATGAAATTTGAGGATAATTTTAAGTCTTTTTAGCCATTAACTTATGCAGTGATAAGCTTTCACACAGATTATTAAAAAGCAATTTTTAAATTGTTTTGAGTTGTAGTTCTTTATCTTTTTTCTACTAATCCTACCATGATTTGGGTGGCAACAAGCAAGAAAGAAAACAAGCAGTAAAAAGTAATTTTCAAACTTTCGCTCCTACCCCAATTGAGAATTCAATAAAATACTTCAAAAATAGTAAATACCAAAAACATATATTTTATGCCTCCTCCAGTGGTAAGGAAAATGTTTTTTACCTTAAATATTTATAAATTTTTATCTTTTCCTGAATGAACAAATATTACACTTTAATCTAATGTACGATAATTAAGTTGACAATTGATTACTTAAGAATTTATAAAATAAATAATATCAATTATATTGCATATTTCTTTGAACATTAAAAGTAAGCACTACTGCATGTTTCTCAGAATAGTAACTTTCTGAGTGAACCAGCATATTTTAGAGATACTCTTTGAAAAGTGCTCCTTCAAAAGAATACACAATCATTTATGTTCCTGTTAGAAGACAGACAAGTAATTATAGCTAATGTTCTTTGAGTGTGTTCCAAGCCCCATGTAAGCACTTTACGTGTTTTACTTCAATTAACCCTTAAACAACCCTGTGATGTAGATACTAGTGTTAGGCCCATTTAATAAAGAGGTAGGCACAGAGAGAGTAAGTAAACTGCCTAATTAATGAGTGGTTGATTCAGGATTTCAATCTAGAAAGTTTAATTCCAGAGCTCTGGCTCTTAACCACTGTTGAGCAAGACTTTGGAGCTATCCAGACCATGTACAAATTCTTACTCTTCTTCTGTGACTTTGTCCCTCTTTGGTTTCTCTAAAGCCTAGCTTCCTCGTCTGTGAAATAAGCATATTTGCATATTGCAATATCTGCATAGTTTATACTGTTTATTTCTTTGTTTGCATGCAAGGGTAACATATAAACAACATTTTGGTTCTGAAATACTCTGTTCAACTAATTTTATGTCCCCGGAAATCATGTCTTTTAACTCTTTTAGGTGTATGGAGATATCGAGTATTGCAGCATTATTAAGAATAAAGTCACTGGAGAAAGTAAAGGTTTGGGCTACGTACGATACTTAAAACCATCACAAGCTGCCCAAGCAATAGAAAACTGTGATCGAAGTAAGGATATGTTTGTTTAACATTGTTAAAAACTTTTGTAAAAATTTCTGATTATTCTAAATAACTGAATTTAATATGGGTTTTTGATAATAACTGTATCTGCTAATGTAATTTTAGCAGTGGCTAAATATTTACAGTCCAAGGAAGAAAAATATTTTGGGGCTATGATTAAACATTCATTGAGGCACTATCTTGAAGAAATAAGAACAACTACATTAACTTAGTAAGTGAAATGCATACCTTGGGTATTATTTGTATAGGTTTTTAGGGTTTTTTAAGTGTATTTTAGAATTTTATGTATTAAAAACTTGACTTACCTTTTCAAGGTTTTTAAAATATTCTTTATATTTGTTTATATTTGATCTACATCCCAAAGAGTATAAAGTATAATTAATAAACCTATAGGTTAAGGATAAGATTTATAAGATGTGCTAACATAGGTAATTGATATAGATAGGGTTAATTTCAAGCTAGAATGACATGAATGTGATCTTCTGATGTTGCTGTATATATAAAGAATAAGAATTTTAAAGATGTCAAGGAGAATATTCTTTGTTGGTGTATTTCTAGTTAGGTATATTGATATGTAGAATGATTAAATTACTGGATTTTAGAACATTATAAAAATCTACACATACTGGAAAGAATTACTGTTAATCAGTAGAATTCTTCAATACCCCGAAGGTACATATGAAAATTTTCTCTTAGATCCTTCTGAATTTCTCATTTAGCCAGCACTAACTGAGTACCTGCAGTATACTGATCAATATGCTAAGTAGAGAGATACAGGTGAAGTATATGGCAGCCCTCACATTTAAGGAATTTATAGCTGTATTGGGTAGCCAAGATCTAATAGGCAAAAAATAAAGAATAATGGAAGAACTTTTTTAAAAGGCTCTTTGAAAGCAAGAAGTATGTCTTATTAGTCTGTCACTCCAGGTATCTAGTACAATAATAGGCCCTCAATAAAGATTTATTAAGCTCTCTATAAAAGTAACTGCCATTTATAGTAGACTCAGTAAGAATTTGCCAAATGAAAAAAAAATGTTCATAAGTGTATGGTAGAGTCTGTCAATGGTGAAAAACAAGTGTGCTGGATGAGCGTGGCAACACATGCCTAGGGGGTAGGACTTGTGTCTGGTGTGGAGTAGGCAGGACAGAACGTGAGAGCAGTGCTAGCAGAGGCACCATGCCAGGAATAAACATGTCTTTTGCTTAGTGTTGTGAAGGCAGCTGTCTGAGTAAAGCACAGTATTTCTGTTGAGACATTCTGAGACACAGTTAACTAGGTACATTGGAACATGGGAACAATATATGGGAGGTTAGGAAAAGTTCAAGGTTAGTCCGCATTAGAATTCCTTTGTAGATTGTTTAGAAAGACAAAAGTAAGAACAGTTGATCTAACCCCACAGTATTAATGATAGATTTCCAGAGAAGAATTCAAACCAGCTGGTTTTATCCTTTTTTAAGCCACTGAATAATGTGAAGAAAACTGAACCCTTGAAATATGCCCATGTGCACATAAATGCACAATAAGCATTTTATTTAAAGTTTCAGAGGGTTCATGGAGTCTTCCCACCTTTTGAAGCTCATCCTTGGTCCCCTAGTTAAGAACCCTTGATCCAGAAGCAAAAAAATCCAGTTAAAGGGCTGTTGTAATTAATTGAAGAGAATCTAAATTAAAAACAGAAGCAGGGAAGTTAGGGTAAAAGATAGCATATTCCATTTGTGCGCATTTCAAAGGAAGAACGTTGGTGACAGGTTAAATATGAAGAAGCCCTACAGGATTTTGATGTTGAGGAGCTTCAGTGAATGAATGATGATATTATCTGTAACAGGGGAAGATGGGAAGGGATAGCATAGAATTGCTGATCTTTCATGTCTACATTGACCCATAATTTGGTATACTTGCTGTTTGTCATTTACTCTTTGCCATCTTCCAGAAAGCAAAGAAGTAGGTCTGGAGGAGATGGCCATTGTATAGATTTTCCTTTGTACAATTATATTTATAAAGCTGAGTCAGGCACTAGCAATCAAGTATATTTGCAGGTATGTTAAATTTGCTATGAAACTTGAAATTCATGGGTTTTCTTTTCAGGTTTTAGAGCAATCTTGGCTGAACCTAAAAATAAAGCATCTGAATCCTCTGAACAAGATTATTATAGTAATATGAGGCAAGAGGCTTTGGGACATGAACCTAGAGTAAATATGTTTCCATTTGGTAAGTAGGCGACCTTTACTTTTAATAGTATAATGTAGTATATGCGATCTAACTTGGGTTTTAAAAAATACTCTGTTATCGGGCATCTATAAATTTCACCTAGTGAATAAAAATCTTAAATGTAGTTTTTTTTTTATTCCTAAAAAGTGGATTATGACTCCTAAAGTTCTTAATATTTAATACTTATTTTGTTTAACTGATTTCTAATTATAGTTTTCTCTGTTTAATTACGCATTCCTCATATTAGAAACTATTGCCACTGCCACATATCACTGCCACTTTTTTGGGTGAGCTTCTGCCGCTGTACAGCTGACCAAAAACTTAAAAAGACATATGTAGATATCCTCTCAGTATGAGTCCTAAAATTTTGTCCCAGAACTACTGCTGCTTTAAAATTAGGGCTACAGAAAAGAGAGGATGGTAAAAGTAGAAGCTCTAATAGAAAAAGGGGAAAATGGGTAATGAAAGTGAGGCCTGTGAATGTTATTTGACATAAACTTTCAGGTAAAATACTTGCCATATTTTTCAGTTTTGCATACTAAACTTATTTCTGTGAAATTAGACTATGCATTTCTTCTTATATTTCTGCATTAAAGGTAGGGGAGTGGGGAGAGTTGTCTGTTTTCTTGTCATTAGTCTCATCAGTAGTTCTGATGACCAGAAGCCTATTACAAAATACAGTGCCTTTATTCAGTACAATGGACTCTTTGTATTCTAGTATTTAAAATGTTAAGTGAATTGTTGGCTGTGTAGAAATCTAAAGATTTACTTTTTTTTATGTTGTTGGAGAACAACAATCTGAATTTTCAAGTTTTGACAAGAATGACAGCCGAGGCCAGGAAGCAATCTCCAAACGCTTGTCAGTTGTATCAAGAGTTCCTTTCACTGAAGAACAGCTTTTCAGCATTTTTGATATAGTACCAGGATTGGAATATTGTGAAGTTCAACGAGATCCTTATTCAAATTATGGTAAAATAATATTCACATTTATATATATATATATACACACACACACACACACACACACACACAGAGTTTTGTTAAAATGGCTTTTCCCAGTGGCACTTTTATGTCAGATACTGCTCATGTGAGAGGAATTTTATCTTCCCTTTTTCTCTACTTTAGACTTCAAAATATGGTGATACCTTAATAAACAAAGCCCTGGAAATATATCTTCTTTTTACAAAATTGTTCACTGTAAAATATATTTTAACTCCCACAAAATATAACATTCTGTATTCCAGTTGCACAACAAAAAATGCCTCGGGATAGAGCCTCTGTCTCTGTGTACTCTTTTGGTTAATGCTAGACAAAGTTATGAAACTCACAAAGTTTCCTCCTCATTCATCCCTAGATCTCTTTCTCTTAAATTTATATCCCTCCTTCCGTTCATTCCAAGTATCTAAATGCCCTACTTCTCTCTCTGCTTCTTCCAATTCTCAGTGGAAGCAAGACTCCAATATCAGCCATTTGAACTTATTAATTAGTTAATTGATTACACCCATTATCTAGCATTAGCTAACCCATCTTTGTGTTTTAAGCTTTTGATTTTATTAAGGCTCTTTGTTAATAGAGGCATTGTGGCATAATGGGCAAGTTTGGCATTCCATTTTGCACCAGAATCAGGTACAAATCCCAGCAGTGGCATGTAGCTTTGAGACCTTGGCAATTTGCTTATCCCCTCTGAGCCTCTCTTTCCTCATATGTAAAATGGGATCATTGATACCTTCTTTGCCAGGGTTGGGTAAGAATTAGAGATAATATATGTAAAATAACCTAATGCAAATTCTGGCGTGTAATAGGGCACTCAGTAAATCTAAGATTTTTTTTTTTTTCTTTGTTAGTGAGGGGTGGTAGAGAAATCATACTTGGTTGGCATTTCTTCCAGTTTTGTAAGGATACCTGATTTAGTCCTTTTAGAGTGACATGGCTGTTGACATAGAAGTAGTGACGTGAGTTTGGTCATGTGGATTAATAGGACTAAGGTAACTCTACCCTTCATACAGACACCCCCACATACTCACTAGTACCTGACCCAGCACTAGTCTTTTCGTAGAGCTGTCTTTGAGCCATCCCCAACCTTAACCCGATCATATGTTGTCATTCTCCGTTCTAAGACATTTTTGTGTTCTCTGGCACATTTGTTATATGCATATGAAGTTGTGTTTATTTTGTTTTGTTTCCTCCCTTTTATCTGGTATGTTGAAATGTATTTGTTCCTGTACCTCCTGTTTTGTTTCTCTGGTTGGATGTGTCTGAAACATATGTGTCATTGGAACATCTTTTTATTAAGAGAGGTGTCATCATATAGTTTGAATCTCATTTGAATTAACTTTATATGGTCATTTGATTTCTGCATTTTATTTTAATTCCATTAAAATATTGGATGCTTGGGTTTCCGGATGAACATAAATTTATAAGTGTTTCCCCAGTGGTTTGTATTATAAATATGAAAACCTTTTGATTGTGTCACAAGCTCCTGGGCTCTCTAAGGAATGCATTATGACATTGTCCCTGCCTTCTGCATCACCCTCCTAAATTGAAATTCATCCCTTTGGCAGAAATCTCTCCAAAGGAATGTAAAATATATCACTTGTGATCTGAGATCCTCTGTTCCCTATCTTTTTGTTTTTCATTCAAATCACTTTTCCTCTCTCTACTGCTGCAGATAGCCAGGATGAGTATATATTCTTTTCAACTATCACTTCTCATTTCATTTCCTACCCAGTATGGTTGGGAAAATCTTAAAATTTCAAAGTAGATTTCAAAGAATAAAAATTTAGATTTTTAAGTATATTGGTGTCATATAAGAAAAGCCAGTATCCTAAAATTAAATTTATTAGACAGGGTGTATGTTAATATTCCATTTTCCTTAAAATATCATGTTCATATTTTTCCCTAAATTATTTCTTCCTTTTGTAGGAATACACTTGTTGCACACATGATAACAGAACTGTGTTTTCTGATACATTTGGCTCTGTATTTACTAGTTATGTGATATTAGAGTTCTATATGGTTTCACTTTTAAGATAGATTGTAACATAGGCCTTAGGCACTCAATCTGCTTTCCTTTTTCATTTCTGTATATTCTCTATTTTAGGTCATGGAGTGGTTCAGTATTTTAATGTAGCATCAGCTATTTATGCAAAATACAAATTACATGGATTTCAGTACCCTCCTGGGAATCGAATAGGTGTTTCCTTCATCGATGATGGAAGTAATGCAACAGAGTAAGTACCATTCCAGGAGTGTCTAAAGCCGAGCTTTGAGTGTACATGATTGATAGGACTTGAAGAATAAAAATAGAAAACAGTTGACCTCTCAGGTGAGAAAGTCACACAAAACAAGTTACTGTTAAAAGACTGAATATTTTCAGTTTTCTGTAAATTATCAGTTATTGTCTCCAGTCTCCTTAGAAAAATGGCAACACAGATGGTAGCTGCACAGCTTGCATCGATGGTGTGGAATAACCCAAGTCAGCAACAACTTATGGTAAGTAGGTAAGAATTTAACCTTTATAATATATCAATAGCATATAAAATAAATGTGAAGAGAAATCATACTTTGTTGATTGTCTATGTAAGAAAATTTTCAGAGCTATAGTGGAAGACCACATAGATGCCATGATACATATCTGTCTTTAGCTCTTGGCCAAAAATCCCTAAAGGGCATTTTTTTCTTTTTCTTGTTTTCTACCTGTTAACAGCAATTTGGAGGAAGCTCTGGATCACAGTTGCCTCAAATCCAGACAGATGTTGTACTTCCATCATGCAAAAAAAAAGCCCCTCCTGAAACTCCTGTGAAAGAAAGACTTTTTATTGTGTTTAATCCTCATCCTTTACCTTTAGACGTATTAGAAGATATATTCTGGTAAGAAAGTTACACTTTTTGTTATATTTTATTTACACTAGTAATTTAATTATTCTCATAATCTAGACACTTCCTTCCTCCAGTACTTATCAGGTAGAGATGATTTGTTCTCTGGTTTTAAAAACTCCTCATTTGTATCATCTTTTTCAATTTCTGATTATTTTCTTCTCTTGTTTATCAGTCACACATCCTAAGGCTCCATACAGAATTTCCTGCTATTTTGTTTTTGAAGACATAAAATGGGCCTGGTGCAGTGGCTCATGCCTGTAATCCCAACACTTTGGGAGGCTGAGGTGGGAGGATCGCTTTAGCTCAGGAGTTCAAGATCAGCCTGGGCAATACGGCAAAACCCCATCTCTACAAAAAAGACAAGAATTAGCCAGGAATGGTGGTACAGACCTGTGGTCCCAGCTACTTGGGAGGCCAAGGTGACAGGATTGCTTTTGCCCAGGAGGTCAAGGTTGCAGTGCGCCAAGACTGTGCTACTGTACCTCCAGCCTGGGTGACAGAGTGAGACCCTTTTTGTTTTTTGTGTTTTTTTAACTAAGCATCTTCTGTTTTGTTGAAGGTTCTTATTTATTTTTGTGTTTTTAACATAACTCCTTTCTTTGGTTTTTCTTTTAGGCCTTTTTCCCATTTGCCTTACAAGAATGTTAGTGAATTAGATAGATAGGAAACTTGTTAAAGAACTGCACAAAATATCAGGGACATAATGTGATAGTATATTGAGGCTCAAAAGGAAAAAAAAATCAGGACATGGTTCAAGTATTTTGACCTTTATTTAACTGATATATTTAGTTTTTTTCTTGAACCTCTTCTTTGTTCAAGGCAGGAACTGTGCTAAGTACAAGAGACATTATGTAAACAAAATATTAAATGGACAAGACATTATAGTTCTTGTCCTCTTAGAGCTGATCTCATGTAGGAAACAGACAGGTAAACAGAAAATTACAACCCGGTGTGATTGTTGCTGTGATAAGGAATGTGTACGATACATAGGAGGAGCAGTTACCTTAGAAACTCTGAGAAGCCTTGAAAGAAGGCAGGTGTATGTGGAGACCTGAAGGATAAAAATAATTTCTCCACAGGTGAAAGCTGGGGGTATGCATGGTTATTTCTGCCATAGAGAATGTAAAAGAAGGGCTATTAGATAGGTAATTTGAGAGATTGTTAGGGAAGATGAAACTAAAGAGTCCAAGGACCATGTCAGAAAGGCTCTCGAGCTATCTTAAGGGATTTGTTGTCACCATGGAGGCAGTGGGGAGCTGCTGAGGGGACTTTTAGGGAGTAAATGATCATATTTACGTTTTAGAAAGATCACTCAAAAGACAGAGTGGAAAATGGATTGAAGAGGGACAAGCCCAGGGGTAAGGAAACTAGTGAAAAAGGAATTAGATTAAGGAAAAGATGATGGTCTGAATGAGAATGAATAGAATTGACTGATTGAGATGTTTAAGATGACATGAGTTGGATGTCAGATGTGGGGAGAAGGGTGAAAAAGGAGTCAAGAATGGACTCCAAATTTTAGACCTGAGAGGCTGTATTTATCAATTTTGGTTGATTATTTTTTTCACTTTGTTTCAGTCGTTTTGGTAACCTGATCGAAGTTTACCTTGTATCAGGAAAAAATGTGGGGTATGCCAAGTATGCCGATAGAATAAGTGCTAATGATGCCATTGCCACTCTACATGGAAAGATTCTGAATGGGGTGAGACTTAAAGTTATGCTGGCAGATTCGCCAAGAGAAGAGTCTAACAAACGGCAAAGAACTTACTGATTCTTGAGGTAAGCCCTTTTTAATCTGAATTTTAAAACATATTGAGTAAATAGTATGTGAGGAATATGTGTAAGTACTTTATGAACTTTTCTTTTTAGTGATTTAGAAGTTGTCAGTTAAAAGAGCTTTGCAACTATTTAAACTTTAAAAATTGTTGACATTTACTGAAGAATGTTTTTGCCCTTCTATAAAATAAAATCACATTTCAGTTTTGTTTTTTGTTTGTGAAATCTTAGATTTTAAGAATTTGACTTTTTATTATGTGTTTATATAAACTTTAAAATTGTCCAGTGCTCGAATAAGGATCGCTTTTTAAAAAATTGAAATACTTCTAAAGATTTTTAACTTGAAGAATTGGTGTCTTGAGTTATGAATTGAGGTAATTTATAACAGTCGTTTAGAAAGATAATGTTTTGACTTCTCTCTAATGAAATGCCTAAAAAGCAATATCAAATAATATATCATTTTTGGACCTTTTGAACCTAAATATTGGTGTTTTCTGGACTTATATTTGTGAGTTTGTGCATTAAAACAGTACCTTCAGAAAATGTTCTCGTGTGCATATATGTATTTTTTAAGAAAACCTCACAATTTACCAAAAACTCTTATTGTAAATTTTGATATATACAGCCATATGAATTCCATTTCCTATTTTATTTATTAGTTTCCAAAAATTAAACTCAATTTCTTTGACTGTGACAGTTAGTTTATATCTGTGTGGTTTGGGGAAACATTCCTTAAAGTTTGGCTTTTTTTTTTTTTTTATCTTTTTTTCTGAGAGGTCTCGGTCTGTCACCCAGACTGGAGTGCAGTGGTGAGATCTCAGCTCACTGCAACCTCCACCTCCTGGATACAAGCGATTCTCCTGCCTCAGCCTCCCCAGTAGCTGGGACTACAGGCGTGTACCACCACACCCGGCTAATTTTTCATGTTTTTAGTAGAGACGTGGTTTCACCGGGTTTCGATCTCCTGACCTCATGATCTGCCCTCCTCAGCCTCCCAAAGTGCTGGGATTACAGGCATGAGCCACTGTGCCCAGCCTAAAGTTTGGCTTTTTTAATTCTGTAAAATAATTCTGAATTTCAGGGGAAGCTGTTTTCCTGTTCACACACACCAACTTTCCAAGTCTACTATAGGTCAAATGTAGTAGATGGCAGGCACTTTGAATTCAGTTTGAAGTTACTGGCTTGAAAGCTTTATTTTTTTCACTTAAGATTTTCTTTCTGACCAATTGTGTGAGCTAGCACATATGAGAATGAATCCTGCCAGGCATCACTGCTGATGACCCTTCCTCTCCTAGAACAGATCACATAATTAGTTCCTCCTTCATAGAAGGCATTTGACAAGAGAAAGTGCCCATTGGGCCCATTATGAATAATTCTAATTTTTAAATCTTTTAAAATGTTTTATTAAATGACAAAACCACTCTCATTGTACCATACATTGTTAGCAATTTAACCCTGGATATATTAAATTGGCAGTGAGAAAGAATTAGCAAGCATTTTTTCCTGTTTATGGATAAAATGTTAAGAATGAATTCTGTTTGGACAAGCTATTCTCTAGCATGCAAAAAATGTGTTTTTTCTAGTCTGTGAATATTTCAAGAACAGGAAATAGTTCTTGCTTTTACTCAATAAATCTTTGTCCTTAAAAAGGACAATAATATAGACTTTAGACTTCTCAGTATAGAAAAGTATATAAATTACTCTTATGGTTGAACCTTTTCTAATGATTATTTACATGTTAAAGAGAATATTGGGCTTAAAATAAAAAGCCATTTAACTGTGACTGAGCTGGTCTCTACGCTTTTTTTTTTTTTTTTTTAAACACAGAATCTCACTCTGTCACCCAGGCTGGAGTGCAGTAGCCTGATCTTGGCTTACTACAACCTCTGCCTCCTGGGCTCAAGCAGTCCTCGCAGCTCAGCCTCCCAAGTAGCTGGGACTACAGGCATGTGCCACCGTGCCCGGGTAATTTTTTTTTGGTAAGACAGGGTTTTGCCATGTTGCCCAGACTGGCCTTGAACTCCTAAGCTCAAGTCATCTGCCTTCCTCGGCCTCCCGAAGTGCTGGGATTACAGGCATGAACCACTGCACCTGACCCTCTTTGCCTTTTTGAGCCCCAGTTTTCTCATAGGGCTCTTGAGAGACAATGAGTCAACAAAATTCCTTGTAAAATGAAAAAAAGGCTTTGCCAGTCTAAGCTAAAGCTCTTGCATTTGTAGCTTCAGTGAAACCTTTGAGATGTCCTCTTATCTAAAATAATGACATCCAAATGATCAGAAACTATAATGATATAAAACTACCTCATGGCCAGTTGGTACTGTGAGAACTAAGCCTCATAATACCACATTTTTCCCTTAAACTCATCCAATTTCCTACATTAGAGGAATTGCATATTCAGCATGGCTGTTCACAAAAATTTTAATCTCTCATTTTTCCCTTTTTTGAACTGTTACACATATTCAGGGCAGAGAGAAAATAGGGGTCAGGTTAGTTGAAATGGCTATTTGGATAGGATACGATTAGCTACACGGTTTTGAATTTCTTCTAATTGCAGCATGGCTTTTTTATTTTTGCTGCGGATCTTCTATTTACAATGGACTCCATTATGACTCTTCTTCTTTGTTGGTATATTAAATAAATATATTACCTTATTTTAAGGTTTGATAAAATACTGTGGAAGACTTTCCCAAATTTTATATGATTGTGACAAGTTTTGGGGGGTAGGTGCACTTTTTTGCTTGTTTCTTTAATTTTTAAGAGGCTGCAAACACAATTCATGAAGGCTGGTTTATTTTATCTCTGAGGTATGGGCCTGGGATTAAGTGAGTCATGCCCAGGAAATAGAAGCAGCTGATCCAAGGATATAACATTGAAAGTAGTTGAGTTCTATTTTGAGATGGGTCTGATAACCACAATGTAATTCTCTATTTGAGGAAAATAGAAATTTTAGTATTTCAGAGAATCGGATTTTTTATTAATTCACAACACTTTCCCTCTAGAAATTCAGCACCTGCATCGCCCTTCTGAGTAAGTTTGGTTTTGTTTGGGGGCAGCTATGATTAAGCAGATAACATTGGGTATATTGAAATAAAGGAACAATTCCTAACATTTTAGGAATACTACAACAGCTATTTCCTTTCCTTTCAGGTGATGATTTTCATACTTGTGTTGTGTTCTTTCTACAGAACAAAGACTAAATAATGACATAATCCTCAGCTGACTGACTGAAAATGTGACTGGACGCATTCCCTGTGGACAGTTGACAGCTTTTTTTTCATATACCTGATAGTCTGTGTACAGCATTGTTTTGTCTGGGAAGCAGGGATTGCTGACATGTATTTTTGAATCCATACATTAATGCTAAAACGAATATAGTAGTTGTTCCTTAGAGCAATATGTTGTTACGTGTAGCAGAAATAAAGTTTTCTTTGCTTAACTAAATCATGACTTATTTATGTGAAAGACAAGAATGGAAAAATTCAATAGACAGTCTTTAGAATTTGACTAAATGACATATGTCATTGATTTTGAGATGCACATCTTTCTCATTTTAACACCCCTGAAAGTAGAAGCATCTCGATATCAGTTGTATCGCATAATGTAATTAACAACCTTATTTTCTTTCTTAATAAAACATGAAAAGGTGCTTTTTTTCAATCAATTGCATCTTAGAGTCAATAAAATATGGTAATTGCTACTCAATCTATACATGGAGCTTAACTGTTTACACTTAATCTAAGGACAAAAGACAAAATCATTGGAAATATTTTATACAGTATTTTTTTTAGTTATATCAAAATGTGTTGGTAGTTTTGTAAAGCTCTTTTAAGATTATAAGGGAACAGTGATAAAAAAATTAAAACTTGTTGATAATAAATTTAAATAAATGTCAGTGGCTTTGGGGGATGGACATTTTTATCTTTTTTTTTTTTTTTTTTTTTGAGACGGAGTCTCGCTCTGCCGCCCAGGCTGGAGTGCAGTGGCTGGAGTGCAGTGGCCGGATCTCAGCTCACTGCAAGCTCCGCCTCCCGGGTTCACGCCATTCTCCTGCCTCAGCCTCCCGAGTAGTTGGGACTACAGGTGCCCGCCACTGCGCCCGGCTAGTTTTTTGTATTTTTTAGTAGAGACGGGGTTTCACCGTGTTAGCCAGGATGGTCTCGATCTCCTGACTTCGTGATCCGCCCGTCTCGGCCTCCCAAAGTGCTGGGATTACAGGCTTGAGCCACCGCGCCCGGCCGGACATTTTTATCTTTATAGAAATAATAGCCACTCCAAAAATATGAAATGTAAGAAATTTTCAAAACAGACTACAATAGGAGGTATAGTTATTTTGAAATTAAAGATTAAAAATTAGGGCTGGGGGTGGTTTGCTCACCACACCTATAATCCTGGCACTTTAGGAGGCCAAGGTGGGAGGATCACTTGAGCCCTAGAGTTCAAGAGGAGACCAGCGTGGGCAACATAGAGGACCTGGTCTCTACAGAAAATTACGAAATTAGCCAGGCGTGGTGATGTGTGCCTGTAGTCCGAGCTACTCAGAAGGCTGAGGTGGAAGGATTGCTTAAGCCTAGGAGACCGAGGCTACAGTGAGCCACAATAGTACTGCTCCAGCCTGGATGACAGAGCAAGACCCTGTCTCAAAAATAAAAACTAAAACTAAATAAAGATTTAAAATTAGGGATCTATTCTGCTTGTATTTTAAAAACTTTAACAAAAAAATTTTATTAGCTCTGGAGTTGAATTGATATGTATCAAAAAGGTATATCTAAATCAAACATTTGGCACTTTTTATAAAAAGGTATTATAAATAATATGCATTTGTTAAAACATAATTATCTCCTCATTATACTCACATTCTGACTCAAACTAACGATGAAAGATTAAATTCAGCAATCTTAATAATTGAGTATCTTATACTTGGACATCTCCACTGGAAAACTAAAATCTTTTCTTTTAAAAGTCAGTGATTTTAGCAAATTTAGATAAGAAAATTTAGTCTTATCATCACAGGCAAAACTGCTGATAAGAATTCGCCAGGTATCTTTCTGTGAGTCAGAGGATGTATTTTAAAGAGAAAGCAAAACTGGGTGCAGTGGCGCGTGACTGTAGTCCCAGCTACTCAGGAGACTGAGGCAATAGGAGTGCCAGAGCCCAGGAGTTCGAGGCTATAGAGTGCTGTTATTATACCTGTGAATAGCCACTGTCCTCCGTTTCTTTGTTTTTAATTTTTTTTTTAAAGTAATGAAAAACCTAAATGAGGGGAGCTGTGGATTAATTACCAAAAAATAGGTGTAGTTATACCAAACTCATTTACGGTACATATAGTTCAGTTTTCACAGATTGGAATTAAATTGTTCCTTACAAGTTATTTGGCTCTGCCATGTAAGTAATGCTCAAATTACCTCAAAAATATTTCTTCCAGGTGGTTAATCTAAACAGTGTAAAAGTAACACTTAGTTACAGAAAGGAGCTCTCTACCTTCTACCTGAGTGCATTGCATCTCTGGTTAATCTTCACATTTGAGATAAGATCCTATTTCCTACAGTTTTCCCCTATGAAAGTATTTCACTGGGCTTTCTAGGAGAACTTGAATCTGTCGTATGGTAGCCGTCATATACCTGGCCAGCCCTCCACATTCTCTATTCAAATTAAATGATCCCAGTTTCTCCCTTCTACCAGTCAGGCAGCCAGTCCCAGCAAACAGTTGTGGTTAAGAGTAAGGTGCCTTATCTAGATGTATTTCTTTGAATCATAGTATAAATTTTAAAGAGATTGTATGATACCTCTCTACCTACAAAACACTTTGCTTTTTCAGTGCAACCTGTTGTTTTGTTTTCCTTCCCAATTGCATGTCTCAGTAAACAATGCTTACTTCAGCTTCAGAGTGCATTTCATCTTAATCCTCTCAGTTTTTTAGCCTTGGTCCTGTCTTCCTATCTTTTGAAGTTGATCCCTAAAAGTGTATTTTAAAAGCCAGAATTTTAGATTTTTCTTAGAATGAGGAAATTCTAGAACCTAAAAAATAGCATTTAGTAATCTAGTTGTTTATGTCTTCACCTTAATGTCTACTTCTTACATGCACTTTGAGTATGAGAACATAATATATAAATATTTGGATGCCCAGCAAATGTTAGTTATTAAAACTGCCAACACAGTGGAGTTTTATTAGTATATATTTCTTTAAAATTTTTTAAAATAATAAGTAATACATCTCAATAAACCTCTCAAGTATGTAGTTAAAATAAGAAATAACATTTAAAATAAGCCTGATTAAAGCCTTCTTGTAAATTAATTAACTAGGTCTTGTATGGTAAATTGCTGAAAGCAACTGTCAAATTTGCTGCTTCTAAAGCAACATGTTCCAAACTATGTTCCTTGAAATACTAGAAAGAATTTTTCATGGTTAAATACACTTAGAAAATGTTCAGTATTTTTAGTTCCACAGGTTTAATCTACCACAGATAAAAAGGTAGTGAAAAATACCCAGGAAATTATTACTCTAAAATTCTAGCTTTCTCTGAATTTTGTTCTGTCTTAATTGGGATCCTATTCAGTATGAACGAACCCATGGAAAGTAGAAATAAGGGACTTTACCACTAGGTGGTGATAAACATTGGTGATAAATTGCAGCATTCCAATGTTAATTTAAGGCACTGAGACAGAAATGATGGTGTTTGAAATGCCTAAAACTGTGGCTCTTTTTTTTTTTTTTTTGAGACAGAGTTTCACCCTTGTTGCCCAGGTTGGAGTACAATGCTGCAATCTCAGCTCACCGCAACCTCCACCTCCCGGGTTCAAGCGATTCTGTTGCCTCAGCCTCCCAAGTAGCTGGGATTACAGGCATGTGCCACCACACCCAGCTGATTTTGCATTTTTAGTAGAGACAGTGTTTCTCCATGTCGGTCAGGCTGGTCTCAAACTCCCAACCTCAGGTGACCTGCCCGCCTCAGCCTCCCAAAGTGCTGGGATTACAGGCATGAGCCACCACACCCAGCCAAAACTGTAGTTCTTAAACTTTGGTGTCCACAAGAATTACCGTAAGTGTTTGTTTAAAATGTAGGTATACTGGTTCTGCAGGTTTGGGGTGAGTTTTTGAACAAGCTGTGGTTATGATGGGGTGGTCAGTGATGTTAACTTTGGAATATACTGGCCCAAGGAGATTTCTTGTGTTGGACCTTAGGTTGGACTGTTGTAATAGAAAGGCATGGAGAAGTTGTTTCCTAGTCTTTTTACCTTGGGCATTTTTTAGAATTAAGCATCTGGTTTTTCCTCAGTTTAATATCAGTAAATATGAATTGCATTAAGAAATTGAAAAACAGGCCGGGCGCGGTGGCTCACGCTTGTAATCCCAGCACTTTGGGAGGCCGAGGCAGGTGGATCACCTGAGGTCGGGAGTTCAAGACCAGCCTGACCAACATGGAGAAACCCCGTCTCTACTAAAAATACAAAATTAGCCAGGGTGGTGGCACATGCCTGTAATCCCAGCTACTCAGGAGGCTGAGGCAGGAGAATCGCTTGAACCCGGGAAGCGGAGGTTGTGGTGAGCCGCGATCGCGCCATTGCACTCCAGCCTGGGCAAAAAGAGCGAAACTCTGTCTCAAAAAAAAAAAAAAAGAAATTGAAAAACACAGTCGCACAAATAACAAATAACAGGCCATCTTTTTTATCTTAGTGAGTATTTTTTGATGTTTGTAAAGGATAGTAATTGTTTAGGCCATTCAAAGCTTTTACCTAATATTTTTATTTACATTTATTTTTAAGTGAATTGTCTGACTAAATTACCAAAGATTGCGATTCTGAAGAAGTACATAGGTACATGTTAGGTGTTTTAAATGACAAAGGAGTATAAAGGAGAGGTAATTATCATTGTCAATAAAACTGAAATAGAATAATCAAAAGGGTACAGAAATACCTCTGTATGTATGTGAGTGTTCTTACAATCATAAGATGAATCTTCTTGTAAAATGAATGCTTTTTTGATGTACCCAAAAACCTTTTGATTTATAGATACATTGTAACTTTCAATAGCTTTAATAAATACTAAAGCTGAAAATCAGTGAGGGCAAGAACAAGTGAAATCTATTGCCTTTTCACCTAGAGGTATAGCCACATGCAGGCTTTGTTCCATATGTGGATGGTAAGCGCTATTAAAAATCAGGGCAGTTATTTTTACATATGATTTCAGTAAAGAGAAAACAAAAATGGTCATCCTTATTAGACAAGAAGTTCCATTTTAATACATGAATTCTAATAAATGGATTGCATTATTTCCTTTTCTAGAAACAGTAGCTCAAGAACACATGGATCCTGGGAACTGAAGGTATGGTATTGGTAGGAGATCAGACAGAAATATTGAGTTAAAATATCAAGTTGTAGTTCATTCATTACAATGGCCATGCTTTGACTTTATTTAAGGTAGAAAAGTCTTGTCCTTAGTAGACAATGCAGCTCCCACTATACTTTGAGAAAGTTACCAGGCTCTGTGAAAATTTATTTGAGTAATTATCGGAGAAAAAGGGAGTTCTGTGACTGTCATATATGAATTGCAGGCAGTATCTGGATGTCAAAGTCCCTGTGAGCTAGCTAACGTAGGCTGCACCACGTGGGACTCTTAGAAACTGCCTGTCCGACCAAAATGCTGCAGAAGTGGCAGAAGGAAGGCATCAGGAGACCATTTTTAAACAGTTGTTTGTATATGAGGTACAAAACTCAAGAACTGTGTGAAAACGCAAGTACCAGTACTGTTTTCTAAAGAAATTGGGAGAAATACTGAGCACAGAAGAATAACCTAAGTGCTTCCACTGATAACTTCTGTGAAACTATGTTCTCTGAATTCTTCTCCAAATTATTTTCTGATTTTGTAAGTAATGATGTTACAACTAATTTTTTTCCTCATATATTATCAATATTTTCTAGCATTAACAAGACATAGGTAACAGCATTCGTTAGCTCAAGAGTTTTTAAGGGTTTTGTTTGCTTGCTTGCTATGTTTTTTTGTTGTTTTTTTAATGCCAGAAAAAAAATTAAAGTCATCTACTTTAAAGTTATATACTAATTTACTAGAAGTTCTGATATGTAAAAATATATAATTTCATTGTTTTCCTCTCTTTGTCAACAAAGCCTATGTGGGCCGGGCGCAGTGGCTGATGCCTGTAATCTCAGCACTGTGGGAGGCTGAGGTGGGCGGATCACTTGAGGTCAGGAGTTTGAGACCAGCCTGGCCAACATGGTAAATCCCTGTCTCTACTGAAAAAAAATACAAAAAGATTAGCCAGGCATGCTGGCAGTCACCTGTAATCCCAGCTACTAAGGAGGCTGAGGCAGGAGAATCTCTTGGAGTAATCCCAGCTACGAAGGAGACTGAGGCAGAGGTTGCAGTGAGCCAAGATTTTGCCACTGCACTCCAGCCTGGGCGACAGAGCAAGACTCCATCTCAAAAATAAAATTCAAATAAAACAAAGCCTATCCATTGTGTTGGGTTTTGGCCCTAGGAGATACTTTTTACATTCTTATCTCATTGCCCCACTGGCACAAAAGACTTCCTCCCTCTTCTATATTAGTACATTTGTAACTCAATAGAAGTGCCAGCATGACCATTTTGAAGAGGGTAGAGAAGAATATTTTAATCTGTTACTTAAAAGGACTGACTTTAGAAACAATCTACAATAGTTGCTGAGAGCACTGGACAGGGGGATCTGCTTTGGCAATATCCCAGATTTAGGCTAAAAGTAGTAGGAGATGAGTCCTGTTAGGAATATCTGGGAATCACAGGCAATAAGGAGTCTTTACCAGGTACTGTAATGTAGTCCCTACAGCCTTATTTTACTATGTTAACTCAAAGGAGGTATTTCACACACACACAAAAAATCGGAAGTAAATCTCCCTTACATCATCCTTAAAGATTAGCAATGTACCTGGAATACCCAGCTTCTACTTAATAGCTTTTAGCTATTTGTAGCGGAAATTTATCATGTCTTCTAGATCTTGTTGATATTATTAGCCTTTAGTTCCCCAAAAGTGAGTTTCATATACCCACATTGCGTTTTTGGGTCTGTTTTCTCATCTAGAAAATAAGAAAGGTAGTAATTATTAGTGTGAATGCAAGCCTCTGCAAACCTCCTCTCTCAGGGTTCTACAAAAACATCCTTGAAAATATTAAGTAGGAAGAAAATTTGTATCAATCATAGAAGCTTAGGTTAAGATTAGTGGAAACTAGAAAGAATTTCTACTAAACAGAAATTTAGTAGAATCCTAGTAAGGGGTAGGATTTTAAAAAATGACTGACTCCAATTCTACATCAGAACATCCTGTTAATAAAACAAGATGATGGCGGGGCGCAATGGCTCACGCCTGTAATCCCAGCACTTCGGGAGGCCGAGATGGGCCGATCAGGAGGTCAGGAAATCAAGACCATCCTGGTTAACATGGTGAAACCCCGTCTCCACTAAAAATACAAAAACTGAGCCAGGCGTGGTGGCGGGCGCCGGTAGTCCCAACTACTCGGGAGGCTGAGGCAGGAGAATGGCGTGAACCCGGGAGGCGGAGCTTGCAGTGAGCCGAGATCGCGCCACTGCACTCCAGCCTGGGCGACAGAGTGAGACTCCGTCTCAAACAAACAAACAAAAACAAATAAAACAAGATGACACCTTAGCCTCCCATCTTCTGACACTCATTATGTATGAGAAGGCTATACTATTAATTTGAGACAGCTATCGAGAGTCTTGTCGTAATAGGCTTCTTTCTGCATTCCTTCACTAGTGGCCCTGAAGCTGCACTATGTTGGAGTTTTCCTTGACTAAGAGAACCACACCTGGCATTCACCTCGGTAGGGGAGTCATAAAAGATCCTGCCTCTGACCAGAAGAGTATGAATGACAAAGGTGACATAACCAGCACAGAAAGATGTCTTAGCCTCTGCACATCAGCTGATTTAGAATACTTACAGATGGGGGGCGCGGTGGGGGGGCGGCGCAGAATGTTCTTTTCAGCTTCTTTGCCCTGAGAACTTTGATCTTATTGCAAGGAAGTCCCTTACCCTCTTCTACCCTAGATCTGACGGACCTCCTGGGATTTCCTGGGAAAATGAAATGAGTCTAACACCTTTGACCACCTGCTGGATATTATATCAGCACTTACTTGAGTAGACTGTGAAAGAACTGAAAGCAATATTCAGAGTGTGCCAGTTCTCTGCAGTTGGCCTAGATAACCTCATTGTGAAATAAGTAACTAAATGGGCAAAAGATTTGAACAAGCACTTCACAAAAGAAGACCAAGAGGAGGGCAGGGTTTTTTGTTTGGGGAGTTTTATTTAGTTTTGTTTTGGGGTTGTTTTGTTTTGGCAGAGGACAGGAGGAGTGGATAGATTCATTTTGTAAAGAAATATTAAAATATTCTTTTTAATTTGATAGTTAATTTAAGCTTAAGAATCTTTTAAAACTCAGAATGTTCAGCCATATTAGTCATCAATGAACTACTCATTACCACTACAATAAGCTACCCTAACAGTGGTATGAACAGCAAGAATTAAAATGTTGACAATACCAAGTACTGGTGACAGTGTGAAACAACAAGAACTGCTGATGCAAATTGGCTCAACCACTTGGGAAAATGTTTGACAGTATCTACTAAAGTTGAATATATATATGCCTTCAACTCAGCAGTTCCACTTCTAAGCATATATCCAACAACGATGTGTACATATGTGTACCAAAAGACACATACAAAAACATTCTTGGTATTATTCATAGTAGCCTCAAAGTGGAAACAACCCCAGTGTCCATGAACAGAATGCATATGACACTGTATAGCAAGGAAATGAGCTAAATCTTGCCACACTTAACGATTTGAAGGAATCTCACAAATATAATGTTGAACAAAAGCAACCAGCCAACAAAAGATGTGCTGTAGGATTCCCACTTACAGAGTTCAAAAACAAGCAAAACATACCGTTGAGCAGACTGGAATGGGGAAGTTCACAAAGGGAGTTATGGTGTGCTGGTGGTCTTGTCTTTCTTGACCAGGATGGGATAACTGATCGTTTTTGAGCTGTACTGTATGGAGTATGCATTTTTTATTTATCTTATACTTCAATTAAAGTTTTTCTCTCTTAGTGAATAAAGCAAAAATCAGCATGAGGCTGGTGAAACAGACAGTTCTGCAGAATGAGAGAAGGGCAATGTCCTGACGCATTTAGAAAGAAGGACTTTGTTCTTCCAGTGCTTATAGAACAAGAAATATTAGAAAATATCTGCTTTTGCTCCCCCTATGGTGCAGCAGGTTATTATGATGGCAAGAGGGCAGGAGAATAAGAGTGAGAAAAGAAACGGAGAAGCTAAATTAATATTTGTGTCAGAAATAGTAAATAGTCATAGCACTAAAGAAAATTGAATCCAAGTGAATACTAAACTACTTTTCAGAATCCTGTGGGTTCTCATGAGTCCACAAAGGGAAGATAGACGGAAGTTCCCCCACTTCCTGTTCATTATCCAGATCAGAACTGCTTTCATCAATGTTATATATTGTGCTTTAAAAGCTTTCCTTTAAAGGATTCTGCAGCTTAAATAAGTTAGGATGAACAAAAAGCACCAGAGCGAAAGACAAAAATCACCCTCCGATGTATATAGTAAGAGAAAAGGTGCAGATCAAAAAGGCTGATTACAGAGATTTATCCATTGACTAATAGATGTTCCCAATAAACAATAATTCATTTTAATAGAAAAAACATCGTTGATCTAAAAAATTTTAAAAGGCACAAGACTGAAGATCCTCTTCTACACATTTTAAATGCCATCTGGAATGGAGCAATGTCTACAGTTTTGTAGCCCAAGATTTCTCTACTCATCCAAATTGTAAAGGTAACAGACATTCTGTGATATACAATGTACTGCTCATTTGCCCTTTCTGGAAAAAAATTAATCACCGCACTCCCAAAATGAATCAAAATTAAGAATAAAAGAATAAGGAAAGAAAGGCCAGTCGGTGAGTATTGAAATCATCATGGAAACTATTAGAATAATGAAAGTAATTGTAAATTTCATTTTTATAAAAAAGAGATTTATCATATGACTTATCTATTCTGAAATTTTTCAGTGGGATTTATAACCCTAGGTTAAGTTAATGAAGGCCAAGAAGGAATGGCAGTTTCTTTTTTTGGGGAGACAGAGGCAGGTAAGGGGTAAAATCCTTCTCTTTTGTAAAGAAATATTAAAATTCATTCGTTTTTTACTTTGATAATTAAATGTAAGGTTAAGAATCTTTTGAAATCTGTTAAGGTGGTTAATAATAAAATTAATAACAGAATGTCTTCTCTTCAAATTCTTGAACAATGCAAAAGTGAAATTGTGTCTATGAAAAAAGTAAAAAAAAAAAAAAAAAGCGCATAAGACCAAAACTGTTTAAACTGTTTAAATTCTAAAAACAAAATGAAATTGTTTCCTTCATCCAAGAGACTTACCTTCAAATCCAATTCTGTCACACACACTTAACACAAAAAGTATCTCAGAGTACAATTTAAGGGGAAGTTATAAAGCTAAATAACAGAAGCATAGTCACTGATAAAATTACAATTAGTAGTGAAGAAAACAGACCCTGACACTTATACGCAGGCTCGTATAGGATTAAAATGTGAAATTGCAAGTACTTTATATATATATAAATATATAATATATATACTTTTATATATTAAAATATGAAAGTACAAAGTATACTTTACAATGGTGTAGAGATTGTGATGGAAACCTTAACATGTTCCGTGAACCGTCACAACACAAATCAAATATGGGGAGAAATTATCTGCAAGAAATGAACAATAAAGCAAAATTTATATGTATAGAAAAAATATAACTTTTCTCAAATGGAATAGTTTACAAATCGATCAGAAAGCAATACCAAATGACAAAAGCAGCATAGAGGACCCAGAAAGATCTCTTAGCTTTCTGCACATCAGCTGATTTAGAGTATTTATAGCAGGATAAAAGAAACACCTCCAACATGTTCTTTCCAGCCTCTCTGTTTGAAATACTTTGGTCTGATTGCAAGGACATCTCTTACTCTCTTCTACCCTAAGCGTAGATCCTGTCAGCCTCCTTAGATTTCTGGAGGAATGAAATGGCTCTGACATTCAGTGCCCACCTGCTGTATATTACTTCAGCATCTGAATGGCCTGTAATAGCTGAAAGCAATCCTTAGAGCCTGACAATTTCCCTGCAGTGCATTTTAAAAGGCAAAAGTTATACATGGTAATAAAACTAAAAGATTTTAATAATTAAATCACAATCATGTGAAAAATAATTTAGAAGCCTCCTAAACTGTTTTTTCAAAAAGATCCAGTAAAATTGAGTGAAAACAAAATGGCAAATAAAAGGTAGAGGATGTGTTTAAAGCTATGCTGAAAGGCAAACTGATAGCCACTATTATTTAGAACATGAAAATGAACTAATAGACATGTAACACAAGGGGAAAAAGTAACAATATGGATAATACTAGGAATAACTCAGAAGAAAGCAAATAGGCAACCTCCTGACAAATGCATTTTTTAAAAAAATCAAAATCAGAAATAATAAAGATAATGAAAAATAGATTATTAAAAATAAATGTATTTTAATTGAAATATTTGCTATGACATATTCAGTACACAAGTTTAGAAAACCCACTCAAGAATTACAAAATTCAAACAAGTCAATAACCAAAGAAAAAAATTAATGTAGTAACCAATGAATTGTATCTCCTCAAAAGAGTCCTGATCACGCTATGCATTCTCCCAAACTTTTAAGAAGCACATTATGCCTGTGCTATATAAATTTTCTCTGGTAGGCAGAAAAAGGTGAGTGTACACCACATTAAATTTTGTGCAGTTACTGTTACCCTGACACCAAAACATTGAAAAGACAAAAATTGTCTTTTCAATTTTTGAAGTTACTGTTACCCTGGCACCAAAACATTGAAAAGACAAAAATTGTCTTTTCAAAGCTATAAATTGTTCTTTTACCTAGGAATATGGATGCAAACAAACCTAAATAAAATATTAGAAGTACAAATCACGTGTTCAAAGAACAACATACCATTGCCAAGTAGGGTTTATCCTTTGATGAAAGAGCAGTTCCTATTGCGGGGAAAAAAAACTGTTAATACGTTTTTTTTTTCGGGGACAGTGTCTCACTTTGTTGCCCAGGCTGCTCTCGAACTCTAATACGCATCTCAATAAATCCACAATGAGATCTCTTTGCCCAAATTGGTTACTTATCCATTCTTGTGATCACATGAATGTCATGGACTCTTTGGATTATTCATGATTAGTCTGAAACAATCACTAACTGGAAGGATGGGATTAGTCTGGGTTGTTTAAATGAATCAGTGTCTAGCCTTGTTCCCAACTGCATGACTGCAATATAACGGGGAAGGTATGGAAAGCATGTTGGTAAGGCAAACACAATGTCTAAAACTGCTTCTTAGCTAGATTTATTGCCAGGCACTGGGCGAGTGGCTTTACATATATCTCAAAACTCTATGGTGTAAGTACTATTTTTCCTATTTTATCAACAGGAAGCTGAAGTACATTCAGAGAAATAAAGTAACTTGCTCAAGTAACAGCCAGCAAATGGGGAAGCTGGACTTCAGATACAGGTGACTTAAAATTGATGCTCATTCTCTTAACCACTACACTAAATATCACTGGCCATAATGAAGATTACAGGTGCTACCACATGCACACACTAATCAAAATTATGTAACAACAAATCCTTCCACAACTATGGGATAGAATGGAAATCATGCTTACTATTTAGAGAAAGCAAGCAGAATACAAAATTCCATATAATGTAGTTAATGATTTTTTTTAAGCTAGAATGAATTTGCTAGAATGAATTTGAAAGAGCCATATGGGTGTATTTGCTTTTCACTATTTTCCATTTTTCCTTAGTGAACATTTGTACTTTAAAAAAAAAAAAACTAAAAAGAGCCAGGCACGGTGGCTTATGCGTGTAATCCCAGCACTCTGGGAGGCCAAGGTGGGTGGATCATCTGAGGTCAGGAGTTTGAGACCAGCCTGACCAACATGGTGAAACCCCATTTGTACTAAAAAGACACACACACACACACACACAAATGAGCCAGGCATGGTGGCACACGCCTGTGTAATCCCAGCTATTCAGGAGGCTGAGGCAGGAGAATCGCTTGAACCCGGGAGGTGGAGGTTGCGGTGAGCCAAGATCATGCCATTGCACTCCAGCCTGGGTGACAGAACAAGACTCCATCTAAAAAAAAAAGAAAAAAAAATTTAAAAAATATACTGTATACCCTACTAGATGGTAAAGTTTTTATGAGCAAAGCCTGTGTTTTATTTTTGTAACCTCAAACACAGCTATGCACCTTACGAAAATAGGCACAAAATACATTTTTATCCATTTGGATTATAGCATAAAGGATTCCTATGTATATCTCCTGCAGAGATTCTGTTAACAAGTGTGTGTTCTCTATAGATGTTGCAATAATTGTTTAGGTACTACCCTTTCAAACTGAAGTTTTACTTAGGCTTATTTTTAAAGATTATGCTAATTTTTATTTTAATGTTGTGTTTTTGTTGTTTGTACAATTTTACTAGTGCTTGGTTCACAGTCCAAATACAAATCTAGGTGATTTTTGAATAGTAGATGATACTTGTTAAACTCTATCACTACTGTTCCAAGCACTGTGAGATATTTTCCCATTTAGCCATCTAACAGTTCTGTGAAATTAATACTGTGAGGCACAGGGAGGTTAAATGACTTCTGACAGGACACATAGCAAATAAGTAATGGAGCTGGGATTCACGCTCAAGAAATATGACTCCATGGCCTCACTTAAGTTCACATACTGTGATACTCCGGTTTCTCTTCAGATCATATAAATCTTTGGCCTTTTACTGAAGATTTCCATGGACAGGAACAGTTATGAGTCTTTACCCAATTTTTTGAGGCCTCTTGTTTAATGATTTTTTTTTTTTTTTAAGTTTACACGCTGTTTAATTCAACCACTGTTCTGGGTTTTATTTGTTTTTTAAGAAGTATAAAATCTTTTATGTTATAAATAGACCATGTAATTGTGAAAAAATTTTATTCCATGGTATGACTCCTTGAAAGAATGAGGTGGAAGAATAAAGTAAGAAAAGTATAACTGAGATGAGAAGAAGTGAAAGCAAGAGAAAAGGATTAGAGATGACAGAATAAAGAGGGTGACTCAGTGACTTCGGGGTCAAAGTGTTGGTTCCTTTTTCACCTTGGTTGTACAAGTTTATTCAACAATAATATATTGAACATGTATGTACTAGCTGCCGAGGACATAATGGTGAAGAGAAAAAAAGATGACTTCTTTGCCCTTATGTATAATAGCTTATATAATTATTATAAGCTTCTATTATATAACGTAGTTTGAAAAAGTAGTTTACAGTGAGTCAGCTGCCAGTAAGGCAGGCTGGCTTCTCCCCAACCTATCAATTTTAGAGGATTCACAAGAACACAGGAATCCCCCTTTACTGTCATCCTTAATTTGGCCACACCTAATTCTGCTTTTGTGTTTGTTTTAAAGGGTTTTATTGTTGTGTTTTGGGGGATAAAGATTACAGTGTCATCTACACATCTTAAGTGTAAGATTTGAGAATTCTTGATTAACGCATACACTCTTATAACCCACTTGGAGACTATTCCCATGGGTCTGTTGTGTTTCTGTTTGTCTTGTAAGCAAAGGCACTATCTTTTTAAAGATGTTTATATAGTAAACAGAATCCAAGACAGATAATGTCTCCCTCTGGTGCAAGAGACAAATTCTAGTTAGTAAAATTAAGATAATGTCTCCTTCCAGGGCAAAGGGCAAGCAGAGTTACAGCTCTTGATTAAAGATTTAGGCTCCTTAAGCTTGGTGTTCCTCAGTTCTAGCACACACTGTGGCATGCATGGCATCCACTCAGGTCACTCTGCATTACCCCTGTAAGGCCTGGGGGACAAAAGGAGCCAAGGCAGACATGCAGCTCAGGCTGCTTACTGTGTTGCGGATAATGAAGTCCTTTGTATCTGATGCAGGAGATGGTGGCAGGCTTTTTATCTTGCAAGTAGGATAACATCTCAGACCCTTCACAGTTCTTGACAATCCCACCCCTTCAAGATAGAGATCATTTTTATTGGGGCAGCCAGTTCCCTCATGCCCCTTTCCCATCAATCTCACAAGAATATCCTTTTTCTGATTTCATTCACACTAGATAGTGTTGCCTTTTCTAGAACATCACATACATGGAATCATACAGTATACAGTTGTCCCTTGGTATCTGAGGAGGAATGTTCTCAGGACCTCCCTGCAGATACCAAAATCCACGGATGCTCAAATTGTTAAGTCTCATATAAAATGATGTAGGCCAGGTACAGTGACGTACGCCTGTAACTGCAGCATTTTGGGAGGCTGAGGTGAGTGGATCACTGACCTCAGGAGTTTGAGACCAGCCTGGGCAACATGGTGAAACCCCATCTCTCAAAAACAAAAGAAAAATTAGCCTGGCATGGTGGCTACCTATATTCCCAGCTGTTTGTGGTACTGAGGTGGGGAGATCACTTGAGCCCAGGAGGTGGAGGTTGCAGTGAGCCAAGATTGTGCCACTGCACTCCAGCCTGGGTAACAGAGCAAGACCTGTCTCAAAAATAAATAAAAATAAAGTGGTGTAGTATTTGCATATAACCTATGCACATTTTCTTGTTTACTTTATCTGTAGATTACTTATAATATCTAGTACAATGTAAATGCTATGTAAACAGTTGTTATACTGTATTGTTTAGGAAATAACGACAAGAAAAAGATCTGTATGTATTCAATACAGGCACAACCATCCTTTTTTTTTTTCACGTATTTTCAAACTAGGCTGGTTGAATCCACAGATGTGGAACCAGGGATACACACAGTTGACTGTGCACTCATTTGTATTTATGTGCTTTCACTCAGCATGAAGTCTGTGAAATTCATCCATGCTGTGGTGCGTATCAGTGATTCATTCCTTCTCCTGGCTGAAGAGTAGCCCAATGTAAGAGTAACAGTTGTAACATTAGTAATTCACATGTTTAGCTTTATCATATGTAAGACATTGGGAATCAAACATTGTTTAGACTAGATTCTATTACCTTTAGATGAAGAGTCTTCATTTCTGTTCTAGCAGGCACTTAGCTGATTTGGACCCCCATTTCCACCTCTCCCTCTTTTGCAATGGGTGGCCCCTGGATTTCTGTTGGAGTTTTCAGCCTTTCAGGTGTTGTTTTCCATCACCACCACCTCTGGTAGTCTCCCTTGCACATGCACAACCAAAGAGTCAGCCAAAAATTTAGAGTGAGGTTTATCATAGATTTTGGGACTCCTTGTTTTTTGGCTCTGCCCTTTTTAGGGGATGCTCCTTTGCTCTCAAATTGCTTAGGCATCCCCATAGTGTGCCCATTGACTCAAGCCATTAAGACTGCACTTTTCTGTTTGAGTTCTAGCATTGCTCTGCTGAGGTAAAGGTTCATAAACATGAATCTCACCCGGTGTGATTCTCTTCTTTCAATGTTTACTCCCCTTGGTTTCTGCCTGCTTTTGGGAATTCTCCAAGTACCTTCAATTAGGTCATATATATGTGAACTAATTGAATATATATATATGTTGCCCAGAGTTTGTAATCGTTGTAGGAGACATGGTCTGATAAAAGCTCCTCTATCATTTTCAGAATCAGTGTAGTGTATTTTTATTCCTGTGTAGTGTATTTTTATTCCTTTTTCTCAAAATTTCTGTGACATTTTACTTTGGATGTGTATCTTATAAGCAACATGTGGCTAAATTTTGTTCTTTGTGGAATCTGATAGTCTGTGGAATCATTAGGTCACTTTAACGCATTTACATTCATTGTGATTAATGACATTTAGATTTACTTATTTACTCATTTATTCATTCATTTAGAAGTGTGGTCTTGCTGTGTTGCCCAGGCTGGTCTTAGACTCCAGGGCTCAAGTGAGCCTCCTGCTTCATACTGCTGAATAACTGGGACTTCTAGTGTGTGCCATCATGCCTAGCTTTTTTTTTTTTTTTTTTTTTTTGAGGCAGAGTTTTGCTCTTGTTGCCCAGGCTAGAGTGCAATGGTGTGATCTTGGCTCACTGCAACCTCTGCTTCCTGGGTTCAAGCGATTCTCCTGTCTCAGCCTCCCAAATAGCTGTGATTATAGGCGTGCACCACCATGCTGGGCTAATTTTCTATTTTTAGTAGAGACGGAGTTTCACCATGTTGGTCAGGCTGGTCTTGAACTCCTGACCTCAAGTGATCCACCAACATCAACCTCCCAAAGTGTTGGGATTAAAAGCGTGAGCCACCGCACCCGGCCCATCATGCCTAGCTCTTGCATTTATTTTTTGCCACTTTATTTTATGTGTTTACCATTATTTACATTTGGTTCTTTAGTTCTGTTCATCTGCCAGGTTGATAAGGTTTTCTATTATCCCCCCACTTTGATGTTCTCCTTACTTGGAAGTTACAGATTACATTTATGCTTCTTAGGGGCCACCCTTAAACTTCCTACTAAAGTCTAAAGTTGTTTAGCATTTCTACCTTCCTTCCAAACAGGAAAAGGACATTATTTTGTTTACTCATTAACAGATTCCTACCTTTCCTTTTATTGTTGTCTGGAAATTCAGTATCAACATTTTTATCATAAAATATATTTTTTTAAAAATTAATATTCAAACATGACAATTTTATGCTCATCATTGTTTCTTTTTAAGCAAAATAATTTTATTGATATACAATTCACATACCATAAAATCACCATTGTATTTTGCATCTAACTTCTTTCCCTTACCTTCACTTTTCTTCTTGCAAGCTCTAATGGTTATTTCAGTGAGATGTATTTTGGGGTTTTGTTTCATTTTGTTTCCTTTTTGTCTGCAAATGCCTTTACTTTGCTTTCACTCTT